GAATCTAGTTGGTGAGGTGAGCACAGTCATGGCTTTCAGCTCCCTCAGCTTCTCAGGGAATTTAAATACCTTTTAAAAGAATTGTTTTCTTGAAAGGTAGAAAGGAAGGGCAAGGGAGAAGAGAGATCTCCATTCTGTGTTTCACTTTGCAATGGGTTGGGCTGATGTGCTGGGCTAGACTGAAGCCAGGAACCAGGAACTTCTTCCTGGTTTCTCAAGCGGTGGTAGGAGACCAAGTCCGGGAGCTGTTGTCCCCTGATGCCTTGCAGGCCCAGGAGCAAAAGCTGGAATGCAAAGCAGAGCACTGGGACTTGGATTCGTGGCCTGGATGTGGGGTGCCGATTTTGGAAGTGATGGCTTGAGGAATGCCTGTTGGTTCGTTACAAGTGAATATATTATTGATTTTTTTTTCCCTCTTTTGTTGTTGGAGAGGGTATACCTTGATGGGTGATCATAGACTAAGTAGTTGTTTTAAACAAAGACTGATTAGTAGTGATAATTTTCATTGGTTTAGGACAGGAGAAAATAGCTTAGCTTGCTTGGGTTGCTGGCTTCCTTGGAGCCCTGCCTGTGGATCTCAGTCCAGTACCGTAGAGGATGTGATCGCTGGCCGGAATTGGTTCCCCTCGGATTCTTCTGTTGATTCATGTGTTATGAGATCGTGGAGATATTTCTGGCCATAAAATTATGTGGATTCTTGACTAATTTTGTACAGAAATGTACATATAAGAATAAGGAAATTAGCTTATTTAGATGGAAACTTTAATGCTAATTAAATTGTCTCAAGGAGGCTAGGAAGACTGCCATGCTCAATGAATAATGTCTGGGATGTGCCAGGCTATCTGTGAACTGAAATAGAAACTCAAGTTCTTCTTAAGAAGGCCGTGGTCTCGGAGAAAATCAAGTCATTTTAGGATGGAGAGGCAGGGAGGTGAACTTCGTTCCGTTTGGGAAATCTAGGAGCAGAGAACGTTTGAGCCCGAGGTAGAAGAGTAGTGACTTAGTTGTCAAGGAAGGCAGATAGGGGACGGTGGCAAACCAGGGAGAAAACCATATATGGGCAAAGATTTGATAGTGTGAGGATGCGTGCTGTGTTTGGGGAGCCACATAGAATAGAATGGATTATTTCCAGAGTGTGAGATATAAAGAAAGGAGAGACTGATACTCCAAATGAAAGTTTGAAATCTCATAAGAACTTGGCCAGGACCTGGTGCTGCAGCCTAGTCTCTGAAGTCCTCCCCTTGCATGTGCCAGGATCCCATATGGGTGCTGGTTCACATCCCAACTGCTCAACTTTTTTTCCAGCTCACTGCTTGTGGCCGGCAAAAACAGTAAAGGATGGCCCAAACCCTTGGAACCCTTCACCCATGTGGGAGACCTGGAGGAGGCTCCTGGCTCCTCAGATCAACTCATTTCTGGCCATTGCTTGGGGAGTGGACCTGCAGATTGAACATCTTTCTGTCACCCTTCTCCATGTAAATCTTTTTCAATAAAAATAAATTTAAAAAAGGAACTTCTTGTGGTTTGGAAGGGCAATGATGTTGGTGCTCGCTGAGATAAAGATTCTAAAACCAGACATGAGATTGGGAAGTTTGTGCCTTTGCTTTCAGACATTGCATGAAACCGTACATGGGCTGGGTGAGAATGTCTAGTAAGGACCGAAAGATACATGGTTTATTGCCCAAGAGAGCATTGGGACATTCAGCATACTGTCATCATCTGAAACTGAGTAGTTGTTGATACCATGGGTGTGAGTCAAACAAATGTCAGTGAGTAAAGAGGGTCTTGTTACCGTGGCCAGTGTTTAAGAGCTACCGGGAGGTGGAAGCTGATCCTGCATTAGACCTGCACTTCAGGGGCAAATCAGACAAACAGTAGCCTTAGGGGGGCTTAACTTTTGTATGAAATAAGCGTGGTCATTAGATGGGAGCAGGAATGGGGGCATGAGAGCATGGTACTGACGACTGGGACGTGCCCAGAGGGTTAGCTGAGCAGTGTGCGCTCGGGTGTTTGTGGAGCATTGGTTTGTAAAACAGTATGGAGAAGTTCTATGGGAATGATGATGAAAATCATAGTTAAAACTGTTACTTTTTAAAAAATGTGCTTATTTGAGAGGCAGATAGTGATCTCTTCCACTTGCTGATTGACTCCCCAAGTGGCCACCAAAGCCAGGGCTGGGTTCAGGGCTGCCATTGTGGGCTCAGGTGGTCAGAAGGAAGATGGAAAAACTTCAGCAAGGACTTGAACTGGTGCTTGTGCATCAGAAGAAGCTGGTGTTTCAGGGAAACTATTAAATGGTTTGAGCACCATCCGTCCCCAATCTTTTTTTTTCTTTTTCTTTTTTCTTTCAGTCTTTGGCTTGAAAGTTTAACAGACCGTCAACGTTTAGTTTAATGCATGATGAAAAGACTGAAGCTGCTGCTTTGAAATAATCAGGAAGTGGTGGTTGATGAGAGTAAGTTTAGGATGGTGGAGTGTAAGGTTTTAGATGTGACTGAAAATCAGATTTAGGGGGCTGAGGTTGTGATGTATGTTAAGCGTCTGCCTGTAAGGCCAGCATCCCATGTGGGCTGTTGACTCAGCTGCTCCACTTCCGATCCAGCTGTAAGTGCACCTGTGTAAGCAGCTTTAGCTGGTCCTGTTACATGGACACCTGCTTCCACATAGGAGATGCAGGGAAGCTCTAGGCTCCTGGCTTCATTGTGGCTATCTGGGCAGCGCCCAGCAGGTGGAGGATTCCTGTTCTCTTCCTCTCTTGTCTGTTTCTCCTCATCTCCATGAAACTCTGCTTTTCAAATAAATAAAAATATTGTCAAAAACACATCTACAGATCTATAGTAAAATTGTGGGAGAATCCATTATTTACATACAGAACACTTATAAAGCATGGTAGAGGAAAAAAGAGATGGAGATCTAAAAAAAAAAAAAATACGTGGGAGAAGTCAGTTTTAATGGGAAGACCAGCATCTTTAAAGGATAATGACTGACATAATTGCAGAAGGGAAAGCGTAAGATCTTAAATTCTACCCTGCAAGTAACTTAAGAAAAAAATTGGGAAATATCTGACTTTTTTTGGGGGGGGTGTTATATGCAATATGTGTAAGGGAGTATGTTGTAACCATTGGCATTTGAGCGGGAGACGCATGTGATTAAGAGGGGCGAGAAAGTAGGGATTGAGGCGGCCAAGGTCCCAAGGGTTTAGGAAGTCGTGTTGATGCAGATACGGAAGTGCCCGGGATATGACAGGTGCTGTGTAACCATGGGAGGCGTAGCAAGGAGGGGGCAACAGACAGAATGTGTAGATCTCAGAACACAGCAGTGAGAACGTGTTTACAAGGGGGGGGGCAATAAGTTGGGGAAAGGGCATTTTCAACCAGACTGATTTTTTTACATAAATTTGAGTTTCTGGTCTCTTTGGAATAAAATGTGGGCATGAAGAAGATGGATTGAACTGTCAACTCACTTCTGAAGCAGCCAGTTGGTGGTTGGTTGCTAAACCTTCAAGAAGGTTTCCTAAAAAACAGGAGGTTGTGGTGATAGAGATGGATGTGGAAGTTGATTAGTGGAAAAAGGAGAATTTAAGCAATGGAAGAGATATGTACACTTCATTAGCTCACTCAGTGAATATTTATTGAGGAAATACTTTGAAGTGTGTTTGGCATGTGCCTAACAAAACATTTTTCTTGTGTTTCATTAAATCCCAACAGTCTTTGAGGTAGGAATTATTTATCCCCATTTTGCAAGGGACGAAAGAGAGGCTTCAGGTAGTTTAATAATTTCTGTCAGATCATATAATGATTGAAAATGATGGAGGGGCCAACATTGTGTTGTCATGGGCGAAGCCACTGTGTGTAATACCAGCACCCTATGTGGATGCAGATTCGAATTCTAGCTGCCCTGTTTCCGGTCCAGCACCCTGCTAATGGCCTGGGGATGGCAGGAAAGGATGGCCTGTGGATCTGGAAGGACTTCCTGGCTCCTGGCTTGGGCCTGGCCCAGTCTTGGCTGTTGTTAACGTCTGAAGACTGGACCAGTGGATAGAAGATTCAGCCTCTGTAACTTTCAAATAAATCCTTAAAAGAAAATGGTGAAGGAACCTGTTTCTGAATTCAGAGTGGATTCTGAGCTGTTGAGCACCAACTGTTTAAAGTTGGCAATGGATGGGGTGTGACTGAGGACTTGTTAAGGGTCCTGCGATCCGCTAGGAATCCGAAGTTAAGATTTTTCATTGTTACCGTGTGGGAATCACTGTTCTCGGTAACATAGGTTCATTTTCTGCCAGTTTGAGCATGGCTATGAGATAAAATGATCAACTAACAATTTGGGAAAACCCTTATTTTAGCCACATTGAAATCCTTTTCTTGTGTTTGCAACGAATTTGATTTCCCTTTCCTTTAAATCTTCTTGTATTCCACTTTGATTTCTATAGTCAACATTTTTAAAAACCAAGATTTATTCCTTCCCCTTCCATGAGAGCTGTGGCCGTGAGGTCTGCTTTGAAATTCTGAGGCTGTTAATATCGTTTCAATAACACTCTGTTGTTGATGATTTTGGAATATAAACTTTTTATTATAAAAGCTGACTTTAGTTTTTAAAATCCAGTTGGCATTACTTTTTAGGACTAGGAAGGCAGCTTAATCATCATGAAATAATAGGACCATGTCAATTCTGTTCACTTGGTATGGTCAGTATTTTAAAGGAAATCCGTTGGATTTTTCCCCTTGTTTTTCCTCCCTGCTTTCCCAAGCAGGATCGGCAGTTGTCTTGGAGTTAAATGGCACTGGTGCTTGTGTTTGTGGATGGGCAGTGTCGGTCCTCTCCTAAAAGGACGAGTGTGTGTTATCTCTTAACTGGCTCTTACGTTCACTTATCTTACTGCAAGGCGTGGGGGGAGGAATTAAGGTATAAAATACGAAGTCTTTTCTAAGGGAGTTGGAGACGAGATAGTAAACGTGTCTATAAATATAATTGAGAAATTATAACAAAGGTTAACAAATTTTTAATCTATACTTAGAGGTTCTGGTTTAATATTTCATTCTTAAGTGACAAAAATGATTCACTGAGCCATATTTTTTTGGACTGGTGAAATAGAAGCAGCCCAGGGTTGCTTATCTGTTCATCGCCGCCTGTAATATTAATTCCCCAGGCTTCTTAGATCATCTGCTGTGTTCGTTCCTGACGTTAGCATTTCTGGTCTGGATTTTAACTTGCTGAATTTAAAATCGTTCTGTAGAGCCGTGACAGCTCTACCTTAACAGAGAAAACACCCCTCTGCTCGAAGGAAATGGTACTTCCTGCTTTCATAAACAGTCATGTGCATAGTTTAGCAAGGCCCGATGCCTCGGGAGCCTTTTCCCTTTATAGCACCATTGAATCCCGGTCCTAACACAAGTACTGTGAATCTTGTGGCCTCATTCTGAACAAAAGGGATTAGAGAAGAAAAATCTCTTGATATAAGGCTTGGAAGCCAGAGCAGGCAATCTTGGTTGTGAATATTTTCTGATTTTTCCAGAAATCAAGCAGAAGATTGAGTGGCTGATGTCAGTTAACTCTGAGAAGCCGTCCTCTTCACAAAGGTACAGCTGCACCTCCTGCATGGACAACGAATGCTGTAGCATTGCTAAGAAACAAACCAGGACGTTTATATTCTTAATTTCTTGTCGAGTGTGCTGTGTAACATATTGTACTGCATGCTGGTATTGTGCTGTTTTGAAGATGTATTTGGGCAAGCTGTTCTGCTTTTGCGAAGGGTAATTGATTTTTTTTTTTTTAAATGAGCGAAGCCTAATCGGCTGCAGCATGCACACCACAGCAGAGCCGGCCCGGGCGTGCGTGCGACAGCTGTGTGGGGCTTTCAGCGATCATCTGGCCAACGAGCAGCAAGGATCTTGCTTTACGTAAGGAAATACCGCTGTTAGGTTTTCTTTCCTTTTTTGAGCTTGCTGCCACACAGAATAACCAAGGTTATTTGTGAGGTTCAGGTTACAATACTTAGATTTTTTTTTTTTTTGGGTTGTGATAAATGTTTTTTTCTGTGGAAAAGGAGTGCCGTTTGTAAATAGCTTAGGAATTGCAAACCCACAGATTAGTCACATTCTGAAAGAGATACTATGCTGCTTCAAGTCTGTGCTAGGAAATGGAACAGTCACTGCATGCAGTAATGGTTCATGCCTGCAGGTAAGGACAAAATGACTCAGAAGTATTTTTAAAGCAATTATTTTTTCTGTCAATCATGTGATTATTCCTGTAAGGAGATACTTCATTGAGACAACTATTTTGCCTTCTAAAAAAATTAAGATTCGTTTGACTAAAGTAAGAAATGAGTCTGTGGTTGCCTGGTTTGATATGCAGATAGCGTGTTCGTCTGTGCTTACCAAAATTGTGTATACCGTATGTTTTAAACTGAGGTTCATATCCTTACCCTTCTCCTGGTTTCCTAATACTTAGGATTCGTTTTTAGGTTTTTTTTTAATTATTATAGATTTATTATTTACGAGACTAATATGAAGAAGTAACTTGGTAGTTTGGGAATTATGGAGGAAAAAGCTGAGATAAAGATGTGTCTGAATCCGCAGTGGTAGAATGGATTTATTTAAAGTGCACCAGTCTTTGCAGGACAGTCTGAACGCAACACGGTCGTGTTCAGTTTATTAGTGTACATTCAAGTGAAAGGTGATGTTATTTAGGGCCGCCTGTGTTTATTTGTGTGTAGTGTCTAACTTGTGATGTGTGGCTAGCACTCCGATTTCCAGTGTTTGCTGAGAGGAAAGGCGGCCTCGAGCCCTGGGAGTGTGCAGCCCATGAAATGGAGGTGCTGGGAAGGAAGGGCGAGGGGTACACAGCCAGTGGCCCAGGTACCAGCCAGAAGGTTGGAGTTGGGAAATGACAGTTGTAAACAATGTGAGGTGTTTTTGGTTGTTGTTAATTATTATTTATACCGATAAATGGAAGGTTGAGCAGTGGACAGATATTACTGAGATAGAATGGTTGAGGCTTTTTTTTTTTTTCCTGGCTTAAATACATTCTCTAAGGAGGAATTTAAAATGTTAAAATATTTTCTAGGTTTCTGTGGCTCTTCGAAGGACAGAGAGGGTGCATATGGAATGGTTTGAAAGCTTAGAAAAATGCTACTGTGTGCTTAAAATAACTGCACAGTGTCACCAGTACTTGCTTACTTGGTTTCAGATACATTTGGCTTAATGGGGATAAATGCAGCTTACGGCTCAGACCAACACTGTGGAAATGTAATTGTTCCATTAATGTAAATATATTAAAATTAGGAGACACTCTTCTTTTTTTCCTCCTTTTAATTAAAAGTCATGTAGTAATAAGTGGTTGGGTCATTTATCTTTCTGTTAGGAAGAAACTGAAAAAAAGAATCTGAAGTTAAGGGAACTAATAACGCTCTATTCTGCCTGGAAATATGATACTTTTAGAAGATCATGTTGCTTCATTAGCACCTCCTTCAGTGCTTGTTCCTGGTTATCTGCATTTTTAAAAGTCTTTGCCTTGGCGTTTTAAGGTTTTAATTTAAAAAGGTAGTGCTTTTAAGTATGATGGCTTAAACATGAAAGATACATGTAATTTATATCCAGTCTGTGTTCCAGTGTACATGTTGAGAAGGTAAACAGGAAAAACTGCTTGATTACACAAAACCAAAAGTTGTCATTAACTCAAATGAATTTTCATTTCCATAATACACAAAAACAAAAAAAATCAAGGTGATTTAATTCTGTAGCCTCTTAAGACCCCTTCATTGAAAAATAAAAATACGATTTGTGATACACTTACAGTATTGAGGCTTGGGGGCTAATTGAGAAAATATACTATCCAGGCAAATCACAATATCACTTGAAATTTAGAATTATATTTTAAAGTTTCACTAGAACAGTAGAGGTCCACCAAATCCCATTTTACAAAAGTATGGGATCTATATTTTTAGTCCCCAATAAATAAATGACTTGGGACTCAGAGAAAAAGTCAGTTTCTGTTTTTTGTATTTTGGAGAAAGAAAAAATTTCAACTTATTTTTAAAAAGTTTAGAACAAAGAGGGTCTGGTGCAATGACCCAGTGGCTAAAATCCTCGCCTTGCATCTGCTGGGATCCCATGTGGACACTGGTTTGTGTCCTGGCTGCTCCACTTCCCATCCAGCTCCCTGCTTGTGGCCTGGGAGAGCAGCAGAGGATGGCTCAAGTCCTTGGGACCCTGCACTCATGTGAGAAACCTGGAGGAAGCTCCTGGCTCCTGGCTTTGGATAGGCTCAGCTCCAGCTGTTGCAGCCAATGGGAGTGAACCAGTGGATAGAAGATGTTTTTTTCTCTCTCTTCTCTGTAAATCTGCCTTTTCAATAAAAATAAATACATCTTTTTAAAAGAAAACAAACAAGGAATAAAGAATATTGTGGTATGACTTTTAAAAAAAATGATGCCTAATAATGAAAATAAACAGGTAGGAGTCGCAGCATTGTTGCCTAGTGTGTTGAGCTGCCATCTGTAATAGCTGCATCCCGTAAGGGTGTTGGTTTGAGTCCTGGCTGCTGACTTCTGACTGAGTTAAGTCAACGCTCTAGGGAAAGCAGTGACAGGTAGCATAAATCTTTGGCCCACACTACATGGGAGACCTGGATAGAGTTTTGGGGTCCTGCCTAGGCTTGGCTCAGGCCTGGCTGTTTGGTCATTTGAGGGAGTGTGGTCCAGTGATGGTGGGTCTCACTGCTGCCCCCACTCCCACCTCCATAGCTCTGGTTTTCAAATAGGTATTTGAAAGCAACACAACTGATGATAGATGGTATGGTTAATTAATAGGAAGACCTGTCTGTTTTGGAGATTTTAGGGGTAAATCATATAAGCATCATTTTAATCAAATATATTTTGAACAAATGCGTGTCTTACACACAGATGTGAGGCTAGACAGTTTCAGCTTCTTTGCGCCCCTTTATTGAATTAAGTTTTCAGGATTTTTTTTTTCTTTGTATTAACTTGAGATGCGGAGTGACAGAAATAGAGCTGTATCTATTAGTTCCACTTGCCAAATGCCTGCCATTATTGGGGCCAGAGCCGGTAGCTGGGAGTGCGGTTCAGGTCTCTGCCACGTGGAGATGGGAGCAGTTACTTGATCCGTCACCTGCCTCCTGGGATCTGCGTTAGCAGAGAAGTGGAGTCGGCAGCCCGAGTCGGGCGTCCAGCCTGGTGGACAGCTTAACTGCAAGGCTAAACGCCCCACTAGGGTTTCAAGTTTTGTTCTTGCCCTTGTCCTTTCCTAGTTAGGACACTCCTAGGATTTATAAGGTAGAGCAGGTGGGAAAGTGGGTGGAGAAGTGGTGATAACGATAATGGCGAGGAAAAGGGTAGTGCTGACTTAATAAAACAGTTCAGATACCAGTTCTGAGTCATTCCTCGGGAGATGTTGGAAGAAAACGGGGTGTCTGTGGTAGGAACTGTTGTTAGGAAGACACTCAGAAAAGCTGAGTGTGTAGAAGACACTTTGCAGTACTGAAGTTTTTGTCAAATTCTATTGCTGCTGCTTCAGTAAGCTTTTGTAACAGAACTGTGCAGCTTAAAGGAAAGTGAAGTTCCGAGTGCTCAGTGCTGTGAATTCCAGCTCAGCAAAGCCAAAGCCAGGGAGGGCTGCTGAGTGTGCGAGGTGAAGGCAGTGAGAAGCCGAGAGTCTGCCTTCGTCCTCCGCCTCGCCCACGTCTGCTATTGTTAATTATAAATGGATGTTGTTGTAATTAGTAAAGTTCACCGTCAATTAAAAGGTAATAACTAAATAACAGTGCCACGTAGGTTTGCTTTTTCTCAGGGAACAGATGCTGAAGGATCATTTTCTCTGATTTTTAGAGAAGTAATGTTAAAGATGAGAGTTCTTGTACTAGAAATAGGTAAGAAGTGCTCTGTAAAGCTAGCACATACTGAACCCCCACATTGCCGGCTTGCTTGTGCTGGGGAGGAGTAGAAGGGAGAGGAAAGAATTGCCCCGGTGTTGCCCGGCTGGCGAGATGTGACCGAGGCTGCGTGTTAACCTTCCCCTCAGGTAAGGCGTTTCAAATTCCTTAAGAACTCAGGCCATTTCTGTGTGTATATTTTAGTTCCTTTTCTTATTTTGGAAGCTCTTATGTGAAGAGAAAAAGGGCATATGATAATGATGCGTGGATGCAGAAAGCAAAAAAACTTGAAAGAAAAAGCAAATAGTTGGACGAGGGAGTGAACTAAAAAAATAAGCGAGATACCAGTGAAGAAAGGGGTAAAGGATGTTTGATGGAAAGAGACCCGGGACCACGGTGTCTCTTACTTGTGCATGGAGTACGGTTTCCTCCCTGACTACGATGAACTGGGAAGAGTTGTTGGGAGAGCCAGCGTTTTCTCGACGTGCCCCCGTTTCCAACCCCAAGACCAGGGCCAGGCCTTGTGAGTTTGTTCACCCCAGTTCGGACTCTGTGCCACTTTGAGACATGTTTTTCCTGAACGGTAGGGTGAGTTGCTGAATGGATTACATTTTTTTCCTCCACCAGGATCTCGGGTTTGTTCTGTCTTCATTGAATTTTTGTTGATATGTGAGATAGAACATAGGTCATA